AGTGAACTTAGCCTATGGTCTATAGACGGTTCGTATTTCAAGGATAAAAGGAACCGCGCAGCAGGACACCGCGGACACGAAGGCTACAGAGCCACAGAGCCACGGAAGATCGCGCTTCAGTCTCTCACATAGTGGTTAGCTGCGCATGCGCGGCTACCCACAAAAATGAATGTGTTGAGAAGTTGTTATTATTTGAAAATAGCGGACTTAATCAACACTTTCTAATAATTCATAAGAAGGAAGCCATTGCAAAACACTTATCAAAGTCTACTCAGTAAAGTAATTTCTTTGCCATCTGAAATGAAATTGAAGGTACGGGCATGAATTATTCATATTTTCTGACTTGAATAATTAATATTTGGACCATATTATCGTATCATGATATGCTAATGATTAAATATGTTTATATTAATTAATTGATATATTATTCCAAGGTTTCGAACAGCACTTGGTTTGATGTCGATTGTGAGAAATACAATGCAACCAAGTTATTTGGTAAAGATGCGAAGGATGTCCTAAAAGTATATGGAATGTTCCTTAAGGTCCAGTTACACGTCCGATTTTTTTCTCGCGCCGGCTACGCAACGCCTTTGCAACAGGTTAAATTTCATTGCGTTACTCGCGCGAGTGAAGTGGTGACATGAGCAATGATAGCTTAGCCCGTCCCAACTATTTGCATGAAAAAACCGGGCACTAGTGTTTCGCAATTCGCAAACGTCACTGACAACAACATGGCGTCGAAGAAAAAACTTGTGATCATAGCTGCAATGCTTTTGCTGGAAGAAGATGACGAGGAGGTTAAAGAAAAGAAACGTATTTGGAGCCGGCACTGGCTTCTAGAGAGAAAAAAAACAAAGGTTATTTCGGTCAGCTTCTTCCCTATCTGGTTGCCTACGACACACCAGGATTTGAAAAATTTATGCGAATGGATTTTGATCATTTCAAAAAGATGGTTGATAATCTATCTGAAACGCTTTACAAGAAAGACACAATAATGCGTGAATCAATCAAGCCAGCAGAAATGTGTTGTTTAACGCTTCGATATTTGGCAGCGCTTCAGCACAGAAGCGAATTTCATTGGCTATCTTAAAATAGCCCATGCATTTCCTGCTCAAACAATGCCTGGGTAATTCGATATTTTCGGCAATCGTTGCCGAAAGTTGAAGCATTTCAACTTTCCGCAACGATTGCCGAGAATATCGGGTTGCAATTGCGTTACCGCGCCAGATATGTTACACGGGCAATTTCATCACTCGCGCGAGTAACACAATGAAATTTAACCCGTTGCGTTGCTGCCGCGAGAAAAAAATTGCACGTGTAACTGGACCTTTAGACACTCAGGTTGATTAAAAACTATGCAGAAAAGGAGAAACCGTGTAAAATCTTGGTTAGATGGCTAATGGGCGAAGCTCATTTCAATGTGTGGTGTTCACAGCAAACATTGGAAGAAGATATACAAGGGGCTGCTGTTATTATCGAGTGTTGTTTTTTCAAAAATGTATGTATTTAGTTGTTTATTGATTATAAGACGTTTTTATAATTCAATTATGAAAACACTCTAGTATATAGTTTAGTGCACTTTAAATTAATCACTAGTTTATTTCAATTATGAAAAATCTCTTGATGTTGTAAAGAATCGTCCTTATCCAATCCTGATATCACAGTGTCCAGTAAATAAACTAAAGTAAAGTATACTTTCTTTACATAGCATTTGTATGCAATGCCTGTTCCACAGAAAGAAAGGACCAAACAGTGTTATCATATGTGAATAATACTTGAATGCGAAGTCCTCACAACTTGTATTTATCCACTCCTTGAATTTAGGCAGCAGGGTTGCATCATGACACCCAGTTGTCCACTTACAATATCTTTGCTTCATTTCACAATGAAGATGAACTGACTGTTTGAATTCCAAAGCAGCAGCTATTCTAAAAGCAGCTCCTGTATCACACAGCTTCCTTGATTCTTTTCAGGTTTTGATCTTGGAATTTCCTCTTCCCAAAACTTTCAGCATTTATTTTCCATCTTGAGAGGACCTCTTGCAAAATATGCATGAATCCACCCGGTGCCATGACTTTCTTGCATACCTTGTGAAAGTAGCTTTTCACATGCATATCACCAGAGACTTCTGAACACCAACCATATGCTTTCTCTGACTGTCCTCTAACACCACACATAAGCTTGTTGGACCTTGTTGGTGCCTTGATCACCAACAAATAACATCACACATGAGTCGTTTTTCCTTGAATATGTATATACTTCCTCATTTGTAGTTAGATCTTGAACTTCATTCATGGATATATCCCTTTCTTCTTTTTCTCTGATATCTCAAAATTTTGCCATATGTCCACATCAGTGGCCACATCCCGTTTGGAAAATATTATCCATTACACCTTAGGACTACTTGATTACAGTGTTTGCAGCTGCAGTTTGAATTATCTGCACAATATCTTCAACCCCCTTGTTAGTATTACCATAGACAATGTTGCCATATTCCACTTTAGACAAAACTACACAGTTTACAAGATCTTTAAACCTCTCTCTGGGCATACACTCACAAATTGATTTCAGTTGCTGAAGTTTACCAATACTTTCTTGAGATAACTTGATTGCAATTTATATAGCAAAGAGTTTTCATTTAGATAAGTTATCAACTGTTTGCATACCAATTTCTCCAACACCTTCGATAGAATAAGAAGTACCGAAATCGGTCGAAAATTCGATTTGATATTTTTATCACCACTTTTAAAAATTGGAGTTACCACAGCTGATTTCCACTCTGCAGGTATGACAGACTGTTTTATCAAGAGGTTAATTAAATAAGTGATGGATTCCAGTATGGACTGAATGCCTACCGCTATCTTCAATGTCCTAATGTCAATAGTATCGATACCAGTAGCTTTATCACTGGATAAACTTGAGATAATCTGCACTACTTTGGATTGTGCAACTTGATTTAATTCAAAGCAAGATGTGACATTAAAGGGGAAGTTGAATTTGTTACCCACTGATCCGAGTTCAGACTGTATTTTTCGCCTATATTGGTGAAATATTTATTGGCATTCATATTGTCACATTCAGAGAAATTTGAACTGTGCTTGGATGATGGAAAAACTTGTCTTATGATTCTCCATAGTTCTCTAGGACATTGTTTTTTCTCCTTAATTAACCGATTATAATATTCGGCTTTAACTTGCCTAACTTAAATCTTCATTTTGTTCCCCATCGCAAAATAGCCTTCCCATAGATTTTTCTTCTCTTTTTCGTTTGTTAACTTTGACGCTTTTTTAAAAATCTTATCTCTCTGGATGATCATAGCATGTAGATCTGATGTCAACCAGGGTTTCCCTTTTTGATGGATCTTTATTCTTTTAATTGGAGCATGCTTGTTCAATACTTCAAGATACAGACATTTCCGAGATTGTCTATTTGGCGTGGGAGGGTCGTGCGTCATGCGTCAGAAAATCGCAAAGAAAATTTAAAACCGAACTATACCGTGAACTGCCAAAATTTTGCACGAATCTTTTTAGCTATGCCACATCTCTATTAACTATGTGGCTGCAAAACAACAAACCGTAAAGATCTACGTTCTATCCTAAGGATAAACAACGATTGTTCCGACCAAGTACTAGCTAATATGATAAATGAAGCCTTTATTAGTGTCACAAAAGATTATACCCCTTTAACAGACGATGCCCATGTAACCCAAGAGGAAGATGACCCTATACAAGTTAGCCTAACATCTGTTCAGCAGAAGTTACGCAAAATAAGTATATCCAGAGCAAATGGTCCAGACAAACTTCCAAATTGGGTATTAAAAATATATGCTGATATCTTAGCTCCAGCCATTACAGACATTTTAAATTGTTCATTTCGTAACTGTGGGGTTCCACAGGCATGGAAGATGGCTGACGTATCACCCATCCCTAAAACATCGAGCATAACTGATTTCAACAAAGACCTGAGACCAATATCGTTGACGTCTACACTATCGAAAATCGCGGAAGGGTTTGTAATCGACCTCGAACTGAAACCTAAGATTTTACAGAAAATAGATCCCCACCAATTTGGCTTCATTCCTAAATCATGTACAACTCATGTAATTATCTCAATGCTACATAACTGGTTGGCCGCAACAGATGGAACAGGTTCTACAGTGAAAGTTGCCTTATTAGACTTTAGGAAAGCTTTTGACTTGGTGGACCATACCCTTCTTATATCAAAACTTATTAACTACGGAATTAAATCATCAGTCACTAATTGGACTACAGACTTCTTATATAAGTGTACCCAAAGAATTAAGTTGAATTATAAGTGCCATTCCAATATACTGCAAGTCCAGGCAGGGGTACCTCAAGGGACCAAATTAGCACAATGGTTGTTCCTCATTATGATAAACAATTTGAATGTTTCAGAGAATTCAACAAACAAGATGTGGAAATTCGCTGGTGATTCCACAATTTCGGAGGTCATCATCCCTAGAACTGAAAATAGCAATTTACAAGATATAGTTGATAAAGTGGCTAATTGGTCAAATAATAACAAATTTCAATTAAATTCTGGAAAATGCAAAGAACTTAGAATAAATTTTACTAAAGACCCTTGCAGAGACGAACCAGTCAAAGTAAATGATAAACATTTCGAAGTGGTAACATACGCAAAAATCTTAGGAATTGACTATTACCGATGATTTAAAATGGAATGTCCATGTGGCAAATATTTTATTAAAAGCTTCCAAACGACTTTATCTCCTGAAACAGTTAAAACGTGCGAATGTCGATACTAATTCATTGATCAAATTCTACTGCGCCTGTATCAGATCTGTCCTTGAATACGCTTGTCAGGCCTTTCACTCAGGCCTTCCTAATTATATTTCAAAAGAAATTGAACAAATTCAGAAAAGAGCCCTAAGAATTATTTACCCTTACGTGGATTATAGTGAAGCGTTGGAAATGGGAAACCTAGAAAGACTAAACGACCGTAGAGAGAAATTATGTGAAAAACTGTTTCGTGAAATTGAAGAAAATGAAGATCACAAACTTCACAGACTTTTACCAGAAATGAATAAGGCTGGTTATAACTTCAGAACAATTAAGAAATATAATCTCCCAACGATTAGGACAAATAGATTTAAGGACTCTTTTATCCTTGAGTACGCATCACGAAAGGAAATAAAAACAAACTTATTTTAAATATTTGAATGTATATCTATATATATATATATATATATATATATATATATACATAACAATTTTTTTTAAACATTAGTACTATGTATTTATAAATTTTATAACAACCAATTGTAATTCAGTCATTTGACTGCAATAATTGATTTAATAAACGATTCATCTATCTATCTATCTATCTATCTATGGCCACACTGACAAAAATGCTGGTAGATTCGCTGAACTTGTGGGTGGTTGATTTTAAATTACAGTAATTTAACTTGTAAAAGACATCGGTGACCTCCAAATTTAGGCTGTTGCGGCATATCGATATACCGATAATTATCTTTTTTTATAAATACCGATTACTCTATATTGGAATTTTCATATCGGAATATCGATATTTTTCGGTATTATCGATATCACGTTTACGTTTGTATATTTAAACGTCATATCTGAGCTTTTTCAAGCGCTGATTGAAGTTATTTCAGAAGGACAAAGACGATCAATGTGCTAACTCCGCGGGAAAATCCGTCAATTAAGGTAAGAGCGCGATCTAAAACGTGTTTGTTTATACGTTACGTTGGTGTACGTTGCAAGGTACAGTAATATGTCATTTCGCTTAGTTATAATAGGTAATACGTCATTTCGCTCGTAAACAACGGTGGATTACAAATGTTTTAGAAAACAAGAACTAACCTCATTGGACATTGTTAGTTTTCTGGTGATATAGGACGATCTTTGTTTCGAACTCGCAGTTGAATGAAATGTTTTGAAACAATTTCCCGGACAAAAATATCACACATGTTTTATCCGGTGCGGTAATCAATGCTAATTGCTGCCGTAGCGAGCGAGGCAGCAGTCCTAATCTTTATGTATATGTATATATATATAAGGCAGATAAAATCTCGATCATTTTGGCGTATTTCGGCCTACCACAATGCACTGCTTCCGGGCCGGCAGGCTATTCTTGCCTAATAAACAGGCATAAGGCAAACAAGCAATGTGATCATCTTTCATCTTTGGTTTTCTTTTATGGAAAGCCATAGCTGGCGTATAGTGATCAAATTGGCATTTTGTCGATACGCAGTGGTTCGAATGTTATACGCGGTGGTTTCGCTATTATACGCAGTGGTTCGAGCATTATACGTGGTGCTTTCGCCATTATACGCAGTGGTTCGAGTATTATACAGGGTGCTTTTAACATAATTTCCATATTCTTTCCATGTATATAATCTCACGATTGCTTAATAAATCTGGTAGGCCTATGACAATGTGGCTGTGCTTTTTACCTCTGGTCTGCAATGACAATGACATGCTTTTAAAAAGGTTTATTTATAAAAAGGCGACTCAGTGACTGCACTTCGTGAGTTCTTATATATTATCATATAGTGTTGATTTATTAGTAATAAATATGTGTATATAACATAGGTATATAAATTAATATAACGCAGCGAATGTGCGCCAAGCAGTATAAACGCAGCTGAAATACGATATTAAAATCTTGAATGTGCCGTATCACCCGTATGATTTAATTATGTTGTAGGATTTAAAGCCTTTAAAAATGCTTTGTCATTTGTATTTGTATTTGTACTGCATCACAACGCAGTGCGTAAGTGAACAGATTCTACATGTGATGTTGTCTTGTATATATTTTTGCCCTCTTTGATAAACATTATTAAACATGCAAATTCAGTGGGACGCACACTCACACATGTTAAATGTCACCTGCATGTCATTGTCATTGCCCTTTAACCCCTGGTCTAAATCATGATTATTGAAGCGGGGCCGTTTTGACCTAGCACCGTATTCATAGGCAAATTGTCTATACAATTTTATATACTAGATATCACAGCCATACCTGCCATTTTGATCTTTTCCTCGCGTTAGATAAGTTGATAAGTACACTCATTCTTGTTAGCCATCGTACCTGTTCGGCTGTTCCTCTTTCGATACAAAACTTTGAGCGCCGAGTTATCATACGGCACATTCAAGTGTATAAATTATGGTGATTCCAATGGACCATTCCCCGATTAACCAAAATTTTGAACTCAACAAATCTAGACTTTGCAATTTTCAGTCATTTTAGATTACAAACGGGTGATGGTTACCACTTTTGTGCGTAATACACATTACAAAATGACTGAAAATTACAAACTTCGCAAGGCTGTATTTAATATCCGCATTTTACAACATTTTGCAACGAAACCTTTGGAATATTACTAATTTTGTGATGCTCTTTCAAGTTGTGATGAAATTTTTGTTTAGGCTAATTAAGATCAAAATTTTGGAAAAGTGGTAGCCATTTCCCGTTTGGAATTTAAAATGACTGAAAATTGCAAATTTCGCAAGGCTATATTATCCACATTTTACAACATTTCGCAACGAAACATTGGAATATTACTAATTTTGCGATGCTCTTTCATGCTATGATGGAATTTTGTCTAGATTTGTTGAGATCAAAATTTTGGTTAATTGGAGAATGGTGATTACAAAGATTTCTTTACTCTTATTCTTTAAAATATTAAAGATTTGGGAACAATGCTATACCAAGGCAGCATTCACTACCCTGTGGGTAAACTAGTATTAAACTAGTTTAACAAAAAGTTAGTGAAATTGCTGCCGTACGTGTATTCGCATTGCAAACTTGCGAAAAAGTTGGCGCCTTGATTACCTTATGTTTGACATGAAGGCCTGGTTACCAATCGCGTCTCAACATCAGTACTAGCCTGTCCGCTAAGAGGCATTCACCCCCTGATAATATTCAAAATGGCGGACCTCCATAAGTGCACTGGGTAGGACAATTGTGTCAGCATTTTGATGAAGAATCATGTGGCAGCATCATGTTGCAGCTGCAATGCTTTGCAGGTAATCCACAACAAAATTTCAGCTGCAATGCTTTGCAGGTAATCCATAACCAAATTTGTTAATTGTTCTGAATATAGTACTAATATAGTGATGGGTTGTAGGTGGTATTTGAGTAGTTGTAATGAAATAACTTTGCAATACTCTACCAATAAAAAGTTATATATTTGGCCAGCCTACTAGCCATAGCACTATTCTTGGTTCATATGGGTACGAAGGGGTAATTTTAATAAATTGTTTGGCCAAGTAAAACAGTGAATGCAATGTTTTAAAGTTAATATCTCATTTATTTCAAATGTCAATTGTCAAACACTTAATCTGTGTGGACAAATTACCAAATATTGTAAACAAACCAAATACCGTAACCTCCGATTATAAGCCCTGGGCTTATATAAGTTTGTAAGCGTTTGTTGATGGGCTTATACATAGGGGGGGGGGGCATATACAGGGGCTCACATCAACATATTTATTATTCGAGAAAAGAACGTCTGATGCCAAAATAGATCATTGCTTCTAACACTATAACTACAGTATTAAAATGTGCACCAAATTCAGGCACGATATTGCTCGATTGTTACCCCCATTTAACCAAATGCAATATATTCTATCACTGCAACTTGATCTATCAGCAGCAGTATTAAATTGAGGTCTGTAAAATTTGCAGTTTTATATATGATATACTGTAGCTCTGAGTCACGTGATACCTTCGTACAATGGCTCTCGTTTGTTTTGATGGCAATTGGCTCTCGTTTGTTTCTGTTTGTTTGTTTACAATTGATGTAAATTTCATTTGAGTTGCCTGTTGCCACACCGTGACCAACACGCAAAGTGTCTGATCAGTATATTGATCAGCTACAAGCGTGAACACAACGATTCCCAACACCAAATATGCACTGTCAGACTTATAAAATCAAACGCGAGCCTATATATTAATAGAACAAATCGTCAAATCTCCTGAAAATTCTTCTTAAACTAAAAGGATCGTAGATAATACTTTGATCTTACCTTAAAAATGACTTTACAAGAAGATATAATTCTTAAAAATCGCAATATTTGCTAACTTGTAAGTTTCGCCCTTGTGCTAAATCTTGCTAAATCCAAATCATTCTCGCATTCATATGGCTTGGTAAAGAGGTCTGGGAACAAATCACAAGAATAGGAAGCTGCAATTAAGTAATATGCATTTTCAATTTGTAAAGCGGACACATCACAGGCTACTGATCACTGGCCTCACACTTTATTGAAAATATCACACACCCGATGAGTCAAAGCTGTTATATCGTGGCTGTTTGGCATCATTTGAAAACAGAAAATTTTGCATAAATTAAGCAAATTTTGCATAAAATTAAGCAAAATAGAATCTCGAAAAATATCGGTATTATCGGTATTTTTTTCCGGTATCGGTTTTCGTTTTTTTTCAAATACCGCAACAGCCTACCCCCAATTTTTATTTTACAAAATTATTTGTTTTAGTATACTCAATTATTTTGAAAATTTATTAAAATACCGATCTAAATGGTTTCTATTTTTTTGAAAACTGTGTTGCTCCATTTTTTTGAAAACCGTACGGCCTACTAGTACGCAAATGTGAATTACAATTGCAACTTTTATGCTTAATTTTGTCTGTTATCTGGGCGGTATACTAGCTCGTCGAAACTTTAGGTATTTAAACGGATAATTGCATTGAAAAGCCCTGGAAAAACAGCACATTATAGTAGCATAAAATTGGATTACTACATGCACAGATAACAGAGAAAATTAAGCATGAATGTTGCCATTGTAATTCGCGTTTGCATAAAAGTAGGCCATACTGAAATTGTCATATCTCAACGGGCATTTTAGGTATATTTAAACCGATAACAGCATTGAAAAACCCTGGAAAAACAGCACATTATAAGTAGCATAAAATTGGATTACTACATGCACAGATAACAGAGAAAATTAAGCATGAATGTTGCCATTGTAATTCGCGTTTGCGTAAAAGTAGGCCGTACTGAAATTGTCATATCTCAACGGGAATGTTACTTTTAGGACCGAAACTGCATTAAAAACCCCTTGAAAAACAGCACATTATAGTGGCATAAAATTAAATTACTACATACCGGATAACAAAGAAAAATAAGCAGGGAAGTTGCAAAGGTTGGGATTTTAATTCTACATGAAAAATACAAATACGCCACTCTATATGCCTTCATATCCGCATTTTACCCTCCCACAGTCCGTTCGCATTTTACCCTCCTGTCCGTTTTTTACCCTCTCATTCATCCGTCCGTCTGCCATCTATCCATCTTAAAAAATATTTTCATTGTCTATACTACGCCCAACACCGTACCCACGATGCATGACTCACACAACCCACGACGCACGACCCACCCACCCACGCCATTTAGCCATCCTCGACATTTCCATGCATGCCAACTATCCTCAATATCATCAAAGAGTTTTATTGCATCCCATGGGACACTCTGGAGGTCATTTTGAAAAGCTCTGGCTTCAAAGTGCTTTAATGATCGAAATTCTTTGTAGCATACTTTCGGTTTCTTAATTTGTTTCTTGTTGATACAATAGACAATAGAATGGTCACTTATGTTTGACTCAAGGGATTCATTGTTGATGGCTATTACATCGATCAATGTACCGCTGTTATTTGTAATTCTCGTTGGCTGTTTAATCAACTGGGTTAAATGATGTGTTTCAAACAGTCTAAATAGAAGTTTTGTATATGAATAGTCAGCCCGAAGTGGGTCGCAGTTTAAATCTCCAATAATCGCAATGTTCTTATAATTTATCACAGCATGTTCAACATTTAGGTAAAGTTTTTCAAATTGATAAATACAACTAAGTAATAAAGGACAAGCTTCGGGAAAATTTGCATTCCAACCACAGTTGTTCAATTTCCCCATCACCTGAACTTGGGGCAGAGAAATCCAGGTTTACTTTAAGCGAAATATAATTTCTGGTGTAAACTGTGATTCCCCCACCGTTCTTAAAATCACAATCGAGACAAGTAAGCATATAACCAGGAATATTCAATATACTATTGTCTATGTCTGAAGTTGTTGAACCATGTTTCGGTGATAACTAGTTTCTAGTGATTGTTGTAAGGTTATAGAAATTAAGAAAATGTTAGGTAAAAGCGATCTTATGTTTAAGTGGGCAATTTTAAGTTAATCTTTGTGTTTCTGGAAAACCGACTGGAGAAGCATTTTGTTTCCATCTAAGGACAAACTGCCGGTCGACTGACGTCTATTTTCTTCAGGACAAGGCTCGTCAACAAAAGTGTCGTTGTAAAATGGTAATGCGCAACAAATACATGTTGAGCAAATCCAAGAGAAGGTTGTCATTAAACTCAAGCGATTATATTCAACAGGCGACACTCCCCCACGTCGTATGTGGCACCAGAGTTGACAAGAGTCGCACAAAATTGCCCTATGATTCTTTGCCACTGATTTAGCACAAACTGAACAAGTATTTTTAACATCACGAGGGTTTGTCTTGATATCACCAGCCAGCAGGAGTATATTAAATTGAGCGACAGAATTTGATTCTTAATTCTTTGCTTCATATATTTCCTTCTCTTACGTGTTGGCTTTATAGATAGCTCCATAAAATTCTTTAACCAATTTGTTTTGCCTCAAACATATCCAAGATGGCGTTAATTTAACCCACAATGATACAGGGCTATTGGTGACAGGAAAAGGTTCTAAAGAATTAGCTGGTGGAAAGAGACTGCACGTAATTGTCGCTATAGCTTATGGGAAAGGTGTGGTTCTCAAAGTTCCCTATGAGAAAATGAATGCCAATTTCTTTGCAGAGTTTATTGGAAAGCATTTTAATACTTGTGATGTTACTCTGAGTGTATATCCACACTGGGCGAGCTTGAAAAATATGCCCGGCCACGGTGGGATTCGAACCTATGACCTTTGGAATACTAGCCCAATACACTCAGAATAACATCACAAATATCATATTCACCTGAGTACACAACACCAACACAGAAAAAAAATCATATTACTAGAATACATTAGTATCGAAGGAACTAGATTCTGTTCCGAAATAGCACTTACTCGAACCGTCCTGACCGCGTAGCTCAGTTGGAAGAGCATTTGGCTAGTATTCCAAAGGTCGTAGGTTCGAATCCCACCGTGGCCGGGCATATTTTTCAAGCTCGCCCGGTGTGGATATACACTAAGAGTAACATCACAAATATCATATTCACCTAAGGACATAGTCCAGCTGTTATCGACCACAAAAATGCCGAATTGTTCAAATTGGTGATAAAAGCATGAAACTTTCACAGATTACAAATATGCCTATGGGAAATATTTCCTGATATAGGGCCAAGCCAAGTTAAGCCATGGGGCCGTGAACTGCGCATGTCAGAAATCTGCCAGCATGGAAACGAGGCTGAAACTTAAAACAGCCTATGACAGAAGTGTATAGACTTTTGTTGACATCAAAATTTTCCTTAAGAATCCACTATCAGTTAATATGTGTTCATGGTACCTTTGGGGTGATATTGTATTCATTTGACCACTTTTTAAGCATATTCTCATTGAGATTTGGGTACCCTGTGGTGAAATTTTTATTTTTCATTTTACAAGCTATTTTAACTATTTTGAGGCCGAAATTATCCCTAAATGACTCATTTACAATGTAGTGTTGACATTAAAAGTTTTTCAGGTGTTTTCACATTTTTATCTATCTTGGTCTAGTTGAATTTGCAGATCCTACAGTTTTGTCAATAAACACTATTTTAATATTTGCCTGAAATATATTAAAAATATTGTTGGAAAGAAATAAACACAACAAAAACTATTATACATGTAATAATAGGTGTGACAATTGTCGCATTTTCATGATTTTATGAGTAGTTTAACAGTTTATAGTTGCACTGGCCCCCAGTCCCCCATCGTTTTCAAGATGGCTGCCTTCATGGGTACTTACAGCTGTTCAAGGTATGTTAAAAATGGTATAAAAATAACAAATAAATATTGTTTTAAGGGGATTCTTGTGGATATAATTGTTTCCTGTGTGTAATTGGAAGCATATATATACATAATATAAATGTAAATGTGATTTAAGCCCAAATTTTGTATTTTAAAATCAGTAAATTAAGCCGAATTACTAAGCTAACTTGAAGATTTCAATTATATTTTCAGTTGAGCATGGACTGGAAACTGTGTATTATATGTCAGAGATCCACTAAAGAAGCTCTTCAATGCTCGGCAAGATCTAAACGTAAAGATGCTGGGGCTGGCTATTTTTCGTTTATTCGCAGTGCTTTAGGATATAAGGCTGAATTGGGAATGAAGTGACCCAAATTGACATAGAAAGCCCGGGGATAGAACAGACCTTGACAATTCACAATGCATCTTGGCATAAGTCATGCAGAGATCTATATAATAATACGAAGCTTGAACGTGCAAAGAAAAGAAAATTAGCTAAAACTGACAAAGACGAAGATAGACCCGATGAAGAACCTTCCAGCTCAAGTCCTGTCAAGTCCAGGCGATCATCGATTTTGACCAGTCCTGTGGTTGCTCAAAACCTTCAATGTTTTTTCTGTGACAAGCAAGATAGCCCTGATAACTTACATTGTGCTTCGACCTTAGAGGTAGACTGTAGAGTTAACTAATGTTTTTATTATAACATCAGAAATTATCGATGTCTCAGCTAAGGCCCGGTTTCCATTTGGTCGGTAGCTGTTGCTGGCACGACAAGTGACTGATTTAATACAATATCAACATATATCTGCAATCATTAAAGTCTGATTTTCACACAAGATACAAAAGACAAGATAAATTTAGACTATCACTTGTACCACTTGTTATGCCCCCAACAGCTAAGGACCAGGGGCCGATTGTATAAAAAGTAGTTAAAGTTAACTACAGTCAGCGCGATAGTTGCCCAATTAGAATCGAGTATATGAGAGTTAACCATATTTAACTACAAATTTGATTTTGTTTTGTATTATAATCATTGGTTACTATTGTGCTTAATTGTAGGTATGAGCGTGAAGGAGTAGTATGTCCATCCCAGTTAAGAAAAGGGTTATTCACCACATCTGCTGTGGACAACATTGACCACAACACCAGTTCGACCACCTCACAGACATTGTTCCACGGGACGGCCATTTCCCTTGTCCAACACCCCACCACTAACAACCAAGGAACCCCAAGAGCTACGGACACGTTTGACCCCACTGCGTTAACTACCACCAAGACAATAGCTCACCTCCCATCCAGTTACACTGAAATAGCTCCTATGACACAGCCCAACGGTGACTTGTATGCTCCACGTGTTCCCTGGCACCTCCCACCCCTCCTGACTCTAGCCTGATAGACGAAGAGAATGACTGACTAACAAGTATCCAGCAGCTCATCTCCAAGGACAAGCTTGACCCCAAAGATTTTGTGTCATGGGCTGCGTACAAAGCTTCGCGGTCTGTGCGCTCACATTATCAGCCAGCGATCATTACCCTATTGCCAATGTTTCTTGATAATGCACATTCTATGGCTATGATAGTACATAGTATGCGAGTTATTAAGGTTGCTGTGGAACATGTTAACCCTTCGCAAGCTCCAGTAATCGCTCTCGATCAGCCCTTGTTTGCCTTAGCCAAGCAGATACAGTGGAAAATTCCTGAATTCGGCGAAGATAAATTTGTGGTCATGATGGGAGGACTCCATATCAAGATGGCTTCTTTCAAGATGCTTGGAAAATTGCTGAGTGGTAGTGGATGGCCTGAGGTCATGTGTAATGCAGGGGTCGCAACACAGGGGATTGCAGAATCATTCTTGTCTGCGAGTCATGTAACACGCACACGACGAGCACACCAGGTGACAGTGACAAGTCTGTTCATCCTACTGAATAAGGCATACAACCAATACAAGGCGTCCCTACTAGAGGAAAACGAGCACTTGCAATACCCCGGCATTTGCTGATTGGAAAGAAGAAAGAGCTACCAAGTCACCGCATTTCCATTATAGGGTGTCCGTCCTTGACTTCGAGTTGATGTGCCTACGCCTCATGAGAGCTTTCAGAGAGGCAGACTTCCCACTTTATGTCGATACCATCAGGAAGATTCTGCCCTGGATGTTTGTCATGGATCATCCCAACTATTCCAGGTGGCTCTCAGTTCACTATCGGGATATGTGTCTCCTTCTGTGTCGTGCTTTGAAGAAATGGGTAATCCCTTTCAAGATGAAAGTGAAAACTTAATGGCGATTTACACAAGGGACATCATGGGCGATGAAGTTGTTAAAACTATCAGGAACGCAAGCAAGATTGGAGAAGAGCAGTTCAAGTCGTTTGTTGAAGGACGATTTATTGATGGCAGCAAGCCGGTCACTGACACTCTGAAGAAAAACAACCTTCCGACATTAAACACTCTGACCAAGAAGGCAGTATCAAAGGACAAAGCCAAAGTCCAAGTCTTGAGGGAGGATTGTTCTTTGTTCTCGCGGCTTTACATAGCGTGCCAAAACCGTGATGGAAATTTGGAGGACTTTTTTCACATATGAGAATCAGCCATGGCCGCCATCCCTCTCAGAACTTGGTCAACTTCGAGGAGTGAAAGCAGACCTGATAAAGTGCTTGCCGAACACTACACCACAGAGTCCCACACAGCCAGAAGCAGACATTGTCATTCTGGATGGTGCGGTGATTGTACAAATGTTGCAGCCACGGACGGCTCGCACATTTATTGAATATGCAACGACAGTATTCGCGCCTTATGTCTTGAAGCACCTTGAGATGGCTAGACGAGTCGATCTTGTGTGGGATGTCTACCAGGATGATTCACTGAAGAAATCTCTTCGAGAAAAGAGAGGTACTGGGCAACGGCGAAAGGTGCTAGAATCTACTAGAATCCCGCACGACTGGAAAAGCTTCTTAAGAGTAAATGAAAACAAGGAAGAACTGTTCAAGCTTCTTGCGACAAAGGTACATTAAAATGATTTGTTAAAGGTACGTTAAAGTGATACATTGAGATGATTTGTAATATTATACCTTACATATTCATGTTTTGACTGCATTTTAGGTTGTTTCACTAGCAGTTCCCGAGGGTAAAGAGATCTACTCCACTCATGGTGAAAACGTGCTGTGTTCTTCGAACAGAACAGATCTAGGTGTTCTCGTGCCATGCAACCACGAAGAGGCTGATACCCGCCTTATGGTTCATGCTAATGATGCATCTTCGTGTGGATATCGAAGGATAAAGATATGAAGAAAGACACTGACATGGTAGTTCTTGCTGTTTCAATTGTCAACACCCTTGCCATCGATGAGATGTGGATAACACACGGATCCGGAAAGAATGTCCACAACATCCCAGTACATGCTGTCGCAGCATCCTTAGGTCCAGCTAAATCCACGGCAATGCCATTATTCCATGCGCTCACTGGCTGTGATACAGTGTCGTACTTTCGAGGACGTGGTAAGAAGACTGCGTGGGATGTGTGGGGCATTTTTCCTGAGCTGACACCAGTCCTGAGTGCTCTAAAGACATCACCTGAAGACATCACTGAAGAATCCATGGCTGTGCTAGAAAGGTTTGTTGTGCTTCTATATGACCGTACAAGCAGTCTAGCGAAAGTAAATGAAGCAAGGCAACAGCTTTTCTCAAAGAGATCACGAGAGCTTGACAGTATCCCCCCGACACGAGCAGCACTTGATCAGCATGTCCGGCGAGCAGTTCTACAAGGAGGACATGTATGGGGTCAATTCCTTCTACGCCAGCAAGTGCTTCCAAGCCCATCCGCCTGGGGATGGCAGCTCCAAGGTCGACACTGGTCTCCATATTGGACAATCCCTCTCACAAGCCAAGAACACTTGTTACGAACTCATCAGTTGTGGATGTAAAGTTTCATGTATCGGCAGGTGTAAGTGTTTGAAGGCAAATTTGACATGCACCGGTCTGTGTTACTGTGGTGGCAATTGCATTAGGTAGCAAAGAACATACGTTACGAACACATTCGTCACATGACCTTGCCTATAATCATAGTACTCTGTTGAGTTTTGCATTTGTTTTACATGTCAAATCTACTCCTTTCATTCTTTATGAAAATCAAATTGCTTATATTCAGCACTCAAAATATCTCCGAAAATATATTATGAAAATATATTAAGAAAAAAGCACTTTTGCATCAAGGAACTTTGGAAATAGTGATGATCTGTAAATATATGAGATTTCACCACAGGGTACCTAACCAATTTCAACACGATCAACAAATGTGATCATATAATAGCGTATAAATTCTGAAATAGTTGTGAAGATGTTTATTACAAATAAATTAAGTTGTTATGGTGAGTTTGTGTTGTACAGAAACAGAACATGGTTGCCTAGGGGATTTTTAGCTTTCAGCCTCGTTTCCATGCTGGCATATTTCAGACATGCGCAG